TAATAATTAATTAATTAATAATAATAATAATAATAATAATAATAATAACAATAATAATAATAATAATAATGATAATAATAACAATAATAATAACAGTAATAATAATAATAATAATAATAATAATAATAATAATAATAATAATAATAATAATAATAAAATAAATAAATTAAATTTTTTATGCTAAAAATTCACTTCATATTTTTGCTATCAAAACTTTTAGCAATCCATATAAGCGATTCTTTGAAATATCTTTCAACTTATTTCACATGACACTTTAACAGTGTTAAGAATTCTATCATTTTTATATGATTCGATGGATTTCAATTATTTTCGTTTGTTCGTGCTGCTATTTTTTTCTTTGTTAATTATGAAATGGAGAAAAATAAAAAGTTTATGTATAAAATATTTACAACGAATAAAAATGAAAAAGCTATTGCGCAATGAATAATAATTTATAATTAGATTTAATCATTCAAATATCTAAATTAAATGGATAAATTGCAATTAAATTACATTAAAATGAGCCATTTCGTGTTCCGATTATGCATTGTAATTTTTATTTTACAAAACTTATTATTTCCTTTTCTGTGTTTATTGTACAATGTATAATCACATTGTTGGGATGCATAGTTTCATCGGATTCATTTCATTTTACTACTGTAACGTTCACTGTTTATCAGTGATGCCTTGCTCTTTTCTTTTGCTTTATGTTATCATGATAAACAAGCAACCATAACAATTCTGATAATTAACTGTTCAATATCGTAGCATTTGTGATAATTTCTCTCATTCAAACGCAAATCGTTTACATTTTGCACAATGATTGAATTTGGAAATTTCCATCAAGTGCTTTTCAGCTGTGATGTGATTTCAGTGGGTTTATTTGAAACTTGTGACCTTTCGTCTAAGATTTTCTTCGCTCACTTTGTTAAATATAGCTAGAAAGACAGAAAACAAAAGGTACTTCCAATAATTCCATTTTGAAAAAGTCAAATTTTTGAGGAGTAATTTGAAAATGAAATATTAAATGATTTTCTATATATAAACAATTTTCCCAAACCCAAATTTTAAGAAGAATGAACCACTATTGATAATATTTGATAAACTGTATCTGACATGAGTACTGTATATGAATGAATCTAACAAATGTTTCTATAACTTGTACCATGGTGATACCTTCCGTTAATGTTCCAGCATCGTCGCAGAATCTATTACGATCTTACTGTAATCGTGATTCTCCGTACCTAATGAGTTTTGTGGTATTTGTACATGTATAGTAATTAACATATAATTGATTAATTAATCAATTTAATCCAGGATTTGGCTTCATTGTATTGCCACTCTTTGCATTTGCATTTGTTTTTGTTTTTTCTTTGCATTTTAAAAATAAACACACTTTTCATCCACTGCTACTTCACAAACAAACGCATTTTTCAACATTTAAAAAGATGAGATCATACGAAAAAGAAAAAAAGACGAAAAATGCATTACAAGCAAATAAAAAATAATTTGTAAAAAAGAAAAAAAGAGGAAAGATCACACTAAAAGTAAGTAATAATGAATGGTATGGCAAAAATGATAATGAAAGAATAATACTTTCTTATATACTCATTTTATGAGAAAAAAGAGAAACGAAAAGAACAAAATAGTAAATATAGAAAAGCAAAGAAAAGATTAGAAAAATCTGAATTTAGCCAAATTATATGGCACACTTCGTTGAGGAGGAAAAAAGAAAAAAAGAGATGAGGAAGAGACAAAAGTAAAAAACGGGAAAAAGAAAACATCCGAAGGAGAAAGTAAAGAAGGAAACAATACGATTACAATTTTAATTGTCTTTTTTATTGTAAATGAAAGATTTCGAATATTTCTTTTCAAAATCTAAAATTTAATAAAGAAAAAGGGAGAGAGGGAAAGAAAGAAGAATTTCATAAGAGAACTGCCCGTTTCATATTAGCATAATTGTTGTGTCAATTTTTTATAAACTTAAATAAAAAAACCTGAAACTTTCAAAGTTTTCCCAAAATTGGTCAAATTTATATCAAATTTAACTTTTCGAAAAATCAGTTAACAAACAAAAATAAAAAACATTGCCAATTAATAGCTCATATCATTTAATAATGTCATTTGCTAAAATAAGACTTATTTCACTATGGATGTTTAGAAATTCTCAGAAAATCAAATTTAAGGAATAATTATTGGTAAGGAAAAGAAGTAATTTTTCATCCCGAATATTTTTCAGATCTTCATTAAATTCTTTCAAAATGTTTATAAAAAATTTGAAAGCTTTCACAAGAAAGCGATTAAAATTCGGTCTTTTGAAAAATATTATAAGGAAAAATGGAAGAAATAAAAAAGTAGAAAAGAAAAAGAAAAAAAGGAGAAAAAGAAAAAACAAAATTTTTCATTGACTAGATTGTCCACACCAAGGATTAGTGCTTTTGTTAATCAATTGTTGGTAACATAATACATTATCAGATATATTGAAAAGAAAAAGAAGAATGAAAAGAAAATTCTAATTTGAATAGAAATATTATAAATGATAATTAGAATTTGATAAAATGAATAATAATTATACAATAATAACAGTAATAATATTCATGTGGCAAAATTTAAAATTACATTTAGCAGTAAACACAATTCAGTACGTTCAACAATGAAAATGATACACATTCATTGTCTGAAAAACTTTCAAATACTTTTTTAGAGGTAGAATAATAATCAGCGTTTTGTCCCAATAGAAATTATTGATACGATGGTATTTTCCTGCGGTACCATTCACAATTCAAAGGTACCAGCTTTCTATGGTACTACACATATAATGTATACTCGAATTAGTAGTTAATAATATGATAGTAATGAATAAGAAATATTTCTAGTTTCGTGTAAAGAAGGGCAGAAATCAATACTGAATTTTTTTTCTTTGATGAAATTGTCATTAAATAGAGAAAATACCTGAGAAACATATGGGGCTAAAGAAATATATATATATATATATATATATATATATATATATAT